CCCCCCCCCCCCCCCGTGCTAGGGGCCCGGGCCAGAAAATTGGTACCAGGGCCCGAGATGGGATGTGGCGGGCCTGTTTCTGTGTGCTCATTTATTTCTACATGAACACCGGTGAACGCCCCAAACACCGTATCTCGTAAACCCCGATTTTCCAGCAAAGCGAAAGAACTGTCTACACTCCTTATCTTGAAGGTATAAGTGGAATAATTCTTCAAGAGAGCAATGATTTAATGGACTCAGCATTTTGAATGATATTCCTATCTGCTTGAAAAAACGGCCAAAAAACCAAGATACATGTTTTTGGAACTAAGAGCCAACACTAAGTTGCGAATACATAGTATAAAGAGTACTGTTCTAAACCAATTTTTTTGCGGATTTTGATACAACACAGGCTTAAAATAGAGTTTAACAGAACTGTACACTATAATTCACTTTCCGCACAGTTTAGTTGGTCTTGAAGCTAGATTGAATACTGCGTGTTGCGAATAAATTGTATTGCTTGATGCCATACAAAAATCACACCATTGGCAGATCCAGATAAAAATATCGTTTTACGGAGGCGGCATGCGCTCCAACAAGAATCGATTACTCTGCACAGGTACAAATGGAGGGCTGCCTCTGTTAGATCCTGCTAGATCCACCTCTCACAATCCACGATTAAAAAGGCGCAAAATTGAATGGATGAAAACAAAATTCTTCACCTCCAGGAGGACTGTGATAAGTCGCCTTCAATTATACGCACATATGCCACATTAACAACGAAGATAACACCCTCTCATTTACCTTTATTTACTCTTAGAATATATCTACTAAAAGACTATAATAAACGACATTTTGTGATTTAAAATTCACTCGGTAGCTGAATCCTCTCCGTTTGATGTTAGCTATTTTTCCTACCCTAGCGTTAAAGTCTCCGGGAAGATTTTTGCTTTCCGGCCTCTAAAGAATCCATTTTGTTGCCAGTGAATCGGCTGAAAAATAACATTATGACTGCTGTTGGTACAATTTCACGTCCAGAATACTTAACTCTATTTTTTTATTCATTACTCGTAATATTCTGATACTCCCTTTGTCTCTCAGATCCAGACATGCCGTCCCGACATCAACCTTTCCTTCGCGAGTGGAACCACTGGCTCGTAGGTAACATGGTCGGCCCTGACCTATCCACCGGTGATACGATTGCGGAATATCTCCCCCCTGAACCACAGCAAGATTCAGGTGACGGATAGCAATTTTGAAAGGAATGTTTAATTGTTAAACTTTGGACGGATCTTGTTTTATTTTTACAAACTTCTTAAACATGAATTAAAAGGTTATTTCCGCATTCCCCTCCTTACGCACTGGTTTCATTAATCAGTGCTCAAGCTTTAGGCTTAATTTAGTCAAAATTCAATGATTGCATCCTTAAAATTCCGGAAGGTTCCGCAAATTCTCTTCCCAAATTCATCTTTGGAAATGATTTTTCTATTAAATTTAAAGACAATGGAGAGTTTTATTTTAATCCTTTTATTTTTTCGACAGGTTACCATCGAATCACTTTTATTGTTTTTAAACAGCCTGAACACATTAATTTCACCGAACCACATCTGGAATATGAGTAAGTATGAACGATATTCTCTTTTCCTTCTTCTCCTTTAAGTCAGCAGTGTCAGAGATAATGCCTCACAGCAATTTTTGGGGCATCGTAGCACGTATTGTGTAAAGAGACTTCACCAATTTAAACAGAAAAAGACCCAACTGTAATTATATGATAAGCGGATACTCCAATGCGTTTCCTGTACCCTCACCGCAGTTGACGATTTACATTTAATTCAAATCTTCAGATACACTAATCTTTTTCTCCTAACTGTCCAGTAATTTGTATCTGAAAAGCTCGCAAATGCTCTCGCATAAGTTATATTCATTTGTTCCTTTTATTAGTGTAATTTTCAAAGAAAATAAGTTTTGGCGCGTGTACGTAGTATACAGCCTTTGCGATCGTTTCGACCCCCTATACTCGATACAATGTATCGAGTGTTAAAGTTGCTTACCGGAAAGTGACTGGCGGGCTCGTTCTGAATCCTTGAGAGCATGTAAAAAAGTTACTATAATGCTTCATCTTTTAGGTTGATTCTTCCATTTCATGTTTCTCTCTTTGAAATTTTGAGTGTATTTTGGATTTTTCCCAGACGTAATGATACGCGGAGAACTCATTTTTCCACCCGAAAATTTGCCGAAAAGTACAAGTTAGGGAATCCGGTTGCAATCAACTTTTGTCTGACCGCCTTTAACAGGAGCTCGATTGACGGAATTGATGATCTCTGTGAAAGCCACAGTGCCTAGTAAGTAACGAAAAAAGGTGAGTATTTTCGTGAATAAACTTCTTTTCCTTGTGGGACTTGCTGTAATAATTCGTTAAGTACGTAAATCATATCAACGATTAACAATGTTCAAAATATTAATTAATGTGTGGTTCATTGATTGAGCATAGCACGTAAACATTAGTAAATATAGGAACATAAGAAGATTTATTTGATAACTAGCCTTTAGCTCAGCTTTAAGCCTGTATTAAAGGAAATTATTATGATCCCAATCAAAGTAAGTTTAAGAGGTGCGACGGTATAACACATTGCAAATATAAAAATATTTCCGTAAAGATGAGTTTTTGATGTGAATAAACGGGTGATTTCATAGTTTGAAGTTTAATTATTTACCTCTCTGTTCTCTAACAGTTTACGTTTAGGGAGTTTTTTTTTTTTTTCGGTGTCGTGACTTGATCTTTTTTCAGGGTTGATAATATACGCATTTTTCCTTCTCAACAACTAAGAAACTTGTGCAGAAAGAAACCTGGCAACCTTATTACTAGACACTTCCTGAAGCTGAATGGAAGCCGTTGCACGAGGACCAGAAATCTTATCCAATGGTTGGCATTAACGCGTTTAATTTAGACCACTGCGGGAGATAGAGAAAAGAAACGAAACAGTAAATTGTACATTTTGAAATTTAAACTTTAGTGTCCTGGCGCAAACTCAAACTTTGACCTCTGTCCTGTATACAGAGTTGTTCTTTTCCTAATGAATTATTTACATTGTATTTATTGGAAAAATTAAGGAATTATTGTCATGTAAATATCAAGAATTTTCGCCGAATATGTATCATTCAACACTTCATTTAAAATAATCTCATCAAAAAATTCAGTTTGCATTACTATCCTTGTTTATAGAAAAATCTTAGAGCTACAAGTTTGTAAACCAATAGGCAGGTCAAAAAATGAACTATTAGACGACCTACCATTTTTTGAGCTCAGTATCATCCTTTCAAAATAATATCATCAAATTATTTCTCTCTTTAAACGGGTTAATCTCCAAATTCAATCAATTTCTTGCCCTATACTAATTACTTTGTCTTTTTCTCCTTTCTTTTTTGCCTTGTTATTGCTCTCCTCTCACGTCCCTCCCCTCTGCTCTCAGTCACTCTTCACATTTCTCCTCTCTGGTTATTGTATTTTTCAGGGTGTTACAATGGTTAATACATTGTTAAGCACATTCGTTCAAATATACACACACTCTCCAAAGCAGGCAGAAATATCCTTCATCTTAAAATTCGTATTCAATCTCAATGCGTAACTGGAGACAACTGATAGTTTGCGCCTTTTAAAAGCACGTAAACGTGTTTGACGTAAACTCTATAACATTTTAAGTGCACGTGTCGAACTTTATGGAATCTGACCTTTTGTACGCTTCCAATATGAGAGGTGCTTATTTTGGGGATAATGATACATTTTGGACGAAACTCTGTGAATTATCATACAAATTTTGATCAAATGCGGTGACACTTCCTTTCAGTGTTTATAGTATATATCAGTCTATATTTGTGGTCTTTATATTATTCAATGTAATTGCTTTATGTTTATGTGCATAAAGTAGTTAGTGAGGCATATTTTACCATCAATACTCTTACCTTTTATTGTTACTTGGAGATTAATCCTTCCTAAACGCTGTAGTTTTCACTGAGATCATCAAATCCATCAATTGAGCTCCTGTTAAAGGCGGCCAGACAAAAGTTGATTGCAATCGGATTCCCTAACTTGTACTTTTCAGCAAGTTTTCCGTGTGTAATGAGCCGTTTTTGTATCATTACGTCAAAGTAATATTCGAACATACACGCTAAACTTTCGGGAGAGACATCAAAAAAGGAACTAAATATGTCAATCATATTTACGATAAATACACAAACTTAATGAAATATGACTACTTTATGAAATATCCACCTTTTCAATAAAACAGCTGATTATCTTAGGGATGATAAATGTTTAACGAGACTCTTTGAATCAAAATAAAAAAATCATCAAATGTAGTGACCCTTTTTTTAAGAGTTTAATAAAACTGGCTTCAATTTTATTAAAAATAAATGCTTATGTATTTTGATGCATAACGTACTAATACTTTGAAAAAATCATCGGTGTAATATCGTAATGAAAATCTTTGAAGTATGAGACTGTTCGGTCAGAATTTTGAAGCTCCAAATGCTCTGTGCTCAACAGAACTTCACAAAAAACATTTAATTTCGTAGGATTTATTTTAAAAATATGATCTTTTGATCACACTTACATTACTTAAAATGCGAATAAATGTAGAGCAATTATTCATAATACTTCATAACGTATATCAGGTTGCAACGGATTACGTAAGAGCGTATTTTCTTATAAGGAGAAAAAGTGGAGGAAACCAACGGGTATTAATGAATAAGAATGGTATTTTGAACATTTCAATATTTCAGCATGGGTCAGTGGTTTGGAAAGAAGCCGAGCTGCCCCCGCAACGTCTTCAGTAGCGGCAGTAGCTACAGGGGGCCTCAAGATGGAAAGGGATCCCGTGGCCAGCAGGAATCTGCTTCTGCACCTGCAGGGGAGTGCAGGGGCTCGCCAGGTCGACGGGCGTCAAAGCCAGACTGGCATTTGCAGGAGTGGAGCGGACGTGGCGGAGGTAGCGGCTGAGACGGCACCGTGGTCGCCACCCGAAAATGGGGGCGGGGCGGCACTGACGTCATCGCCCGAACAGCATGGCGAGGCGCTCAAGTGAGTGTAGAAGCTGGAGGGTCCTAAAAGAATAAGAAAGAAAATGAAAAAACGAGTGAATATTGTATTACCACCGAGACAAACTATTTACTCACAAATGGACCGCGTTTAGCAGAAAAGAACCAAGCCACATCAGCTTTTGCCAAATTTTATCGGACAATTAAATTCGTTACATGAGAACGGCTGTTAGTTCAGATTTCAGTGATTATTCTCCACAGTGTGAAACAAATTCCTTAAAATTTTCAATGAATTGAAGTGATCACTAAAATTTTGGCGATAACTGATGTGGCTTGGTTCCTTTCTGCTTAGCATGGTCCAAATATCGTGAATTTTAACACATATGCTCACCCTGAAAAATTTACAAAAAACAAACTGTGACTAAACAATCCTCTTTTATTTTGTACCAGGAGTGATCGTCTTTCAAATTCTTTTATATTTAATATGATTTTAGATTGTTTTTATTTTTGTTTAAATTTTTTATTTTATTTGAAGATATTTAGGCGTGGGTTATTGAAAATTTATCCTTCGCGTACCATTTTTTTAAAATTTAAACAACGGCAGAATGAATACAAAGTGAAGTAAGAAATCGGGAGCGGTCCTTTTTCTTTCACTAGCCTGTGTCACACTATCAAAGCCTCGCGAATAAGCATTAGGTGACCCAAAATCGACTCTGCAGGCGTGTCACCCACTTTTCAGCTCACGTTCTCTCCCGGGTGTCTGATTCGCATTTCTGCCGGCTGAAGTCCTGGTTGATAAGTGTTTGTGTGTTTAGAATGGTCAAAGTTGTGACAACGATGTATTATGCACTCAAAATTGTTCGCATCACAGGATTGTGATCCATCACATGTGGTGAATCAAGTTGGCAGAAAGTAGAGTCAAGTATTGTAAATAAAAATATAAAAAAAAAAAAAAAAACATGCTCAACTCTGTCTGGTTTCCAAGTTCCGCTAAAAACCGGGTCATTTCTTCAGCTACCCAAACATATCATGATTAATGGCATCAAAAGCACGAAGTTCCCTCGCAAATTAAACCGAGTGACGACAAAAAGAAAGCGGTAGTAGGAAAACTTACTATGTCTTAGTATCCGTGCATAATAACGCTCAGCATGATTTTTGAACTTCATTAGAGGAAAAAGTGACTTGATTCAAACAGAATTACGCTCAAATTCACCGCAGAGAATATTTTCCTTTGAATCAATAAAGAAAATAATGCTTGTTTAAAGAAGAGAGGATGCTTACATAAATAAAAAGAAACGTCACTTACATCAGGCAGAATACATTCAGCGATTTTATTCTTGATTCAAAATAAATTCTACGGCACACGGCACACTCAATATGTTGGCATTCATATTATTTTGGAGTGCCTTCAATTTCGTGTGTTAATGTGCAACACTTCTGTTGTGAAATAGTAGCTTGAGTCGCCGTGGCATGCTGCCAGCTGCAGCGCAGGACGCGCACTGGCGCCTACAAACCTAAGGGGATACTTCACGCATTGCGCACTGTGTGNTGAAGTATCCACTTAGGTTTGTAGGCGCCATTGCGCGTCCTGCGCTGCAGCTGGCAGCACGCCGCTCCGCGTCACGCCGCTCTCCAAGAGTAGAGCGGCGTGCGACGGAGAGGCTTTGATATTGAAAGTCGCGGAGCCAGTCTTTTTCAACTTATGATTTTGAAATGTTCGTACACTCTGTATGGATTATTCTCATTTAAATTGATGGAAAAAAAAAAAAATATGTATTGAAGGAAAATAGAATGAATGTTTTGTAAATATTTAAGTGGTTTCTTGTCAACTTTAATGATTTCGAAAGCACTTTAATTTTTTCTTTTATATCTTGTACTTTTACTGTGCAGCAGCGTGTTGCGCGCGCAATAAAACGCTCAAAATTGGACTATTTGACCCTGAAAGATTGATGTACATCTATGGTTGAAAAACCAAAGATTGCGTGCCTCTTGGTTTTTACCTATTTTATTGTTCATTTTTTTATCGTTTCTATCAACACAACTACGGCTCATTGAGATTAGTATCGATGCCATCGCTTGGAAAATGTTTTACGAATATTTGCTTTATATTATACATGATGTTGATCCCTGCAAGGTTTCCATGTTGTTTCGGCAATTATGCAAGATCCTTTTCTGTTTTGGAGTCGAAATAAGTAGAATTTTTACCTGTGTCCCATTTATCTGTGTCCTAAATTTCACCGGGACAGAGGTGAGGATTCGACGGGACAGAGGTGAGAAATCGGAATATTTCTAAAGAATTATTCGGTTGATTTGCTAAAATAGAGGTACATTCAATGCCATGTATCCTTTATATGAAATAAAAGAAAAAGAGGGCCGTGATTCGGAATTACCTCAGCAGGGATTCACTCTGTTCACTGATCAGATCACTGAATGTGAAGACGATCACGTGCTACGACTTGGATCGTTTGACTTTCCGAAGTTACAATGCAAAAGTATGCTCTAAATTCAAGAAATGATCCAAACCCACCCTTCTGGACTATGTACCTCGTGCGTGTTGGAACGCTTACCCAGAAACGCAGTAATACTACACAAATCTACAGTGAACTGGCATTATTTAGGTAAAAAAAGTTTAGACACTCAACAAAAAGTAATAAAAATTTCCTGTAGGGCACTGAATCACTGATATAGTTGAAGCATGAGCACAAAATACATGATTAGTAACAAATCAAAAGACAAAAATTTAGGATGAAATTTTTAAGTATTTGCCAAAGAAAATTTGAACGCCTTCAAAAATTATGTTTTAGAATTCCGTTAAGAGAAAATTACAATTTATACGGAAATGAGTTACAGATCCCTCTCAGATTACTGGCAAAACACAAAAAATTGAGAAAGTAGAGTGCAAGATAAATGAATGATTAAGAGTTGAAACAAGATTAATAATATAATTGTAAGATGACCGAAACTATTGATGAAAAATGAAATTGAAGGTTCTCAACAAACAAATTGAAGACCGAGGTTTCGGCACCAATTCTAAGAACCATACCTTATATAAAGAAAAAGGAAAATATTCTCCTTCCTTCAGAGACAGACCTGATTCCATATAAGGCGTAATTGTATAACTTTACGACCTACTCTTACATGGAATCAACTCTTATCACTGAAGGGGCAGTTGCTAAGACATAATTGACGAAATACTCTGAAATTCGCCCTTTAAGTGAAAATCCAAGTATTTGGACAATTACACCTGCTAAAACAGAGTGAGAGAGCAAGATTAGTAAACTGAAATATTCTTCTTATCCTTTCATGCACTACTAGATCTGAGGGATGTTTTTATCAAATTAATGAAGAAACAAGAACAAAAATTGGCGTGTTTAAAATTTATTAACTTGAAAAGTTTCCAAGAAAAGAATTGCAGAGATGTATATTCGAATATTAAAATGAGACTCAAAGGAGAATCGCTTGGAGCGAGCCCGAGCGGTGATGTATTTGAAGTATCGCCTGAAGTCCAAATACTTGAGCAAAGTTTCGGTCTCCTCTTTAAATTCGGATCGAAAGCCTACGGCCAGCGTGATATTCTCCTCTGTTAATTTCTTCAGAATTTCAGACACCTCGGGGTAAGGTTTCAGCATCCCCTTATCATCGCCCCTTCACATCACCGCGCCCTTATCATCGGTTACAACACCGTTCTCCTCTTTCTTAGAAGGAGGGGTCACTTTCATATCCACACAGAACGGCCACACCAAATGACCTGTTTCGAAAATAATCAGCTTTGGCCTGTAAAAGTGGGTTCGGCGCGGGGCCTCGATATGAGAAGGCACTGAAAACACCTGAGAAAAAGTTGAAGGTACTCAAACCAACACACACATCCAGGATATCATGGGCTTCTCAAAATTATTCCCTTAAAACAAGGGTGCCTCCCCGCATCTTCGGACGGATCAGGGGTTCCTGGGTCTTCGGCCGGTGACGGTCGACCGTAGTCTCCAATAAAACAAAAGACAACAATTAAAGCTAAGACAGAGAGACATTTTCATTTACAGGAATAATTATGTTTCTATATCTCCTCCCTAATCAGAGGTAGTATGTTATGTTATAATTTTAAGATAAAACATTATACTATAATTTCAGGATAAAATGTATGTATTTCATAGTTAAGTTACTCTTACAGATTAATCAAGCTTAAAAGGACATTTTTAAATGTCTATAAGTGATTTTTGTACATAAATGTTAATTTTGTGCGAAAAAAAATCCAGGATATCATAGAGAGCATGATGATCAAACGAAAATCCTCACCAAAGGTCAACTCAAAGTAGCGCCTTTGACGTCCGAGTGTCCAAAAGTCCAAGAATCCATAAGAGAGTGCAGTTGTAAAGCCGGAATAAGGAGATGCGATCCGGCCGAGGCTCCCGGCGAGATTGAAAAAAAGTTTTTAAAGAGATTAAAAAAAGGAGTAAGCGTTGCAGCCTTATCAGACAAGAAACAAAAATGGATTATTGATGATAATAAGAGATTACGTTCCTTATCTGTCTATCTCACTTCACCCTTGCTTAAAAGACGTTGCCCACGACGTCAAATTTAAAAATATTAGTACATAACAATAAAAGGGCGATGCCCCCCTTTCCCTATTTTTAAAAAATAAAAATTAGTAGAGGTGATACTTTTACACAACCTTGTAGAACCCTGACCCTTCATGTAATAATAATTCATATGATATGAGGCCATTCACCAAATGGGTTTAACGGCACCGACAAATGGAATAAACAAAACGAATGATTGACCGTTATCAGTATGTGACTTTTCTCTGATGAATGTAGATGTGGGTGAAGGCAACAAGTAACAAGTGACCTCTTGAGGCGAATTTCGTTTTGCGGATCGGAACTACTTTAGCACCGGAACCTTGCAGCTGCCGTTTTATTTAAGTTCGGGAATTCCGATCCGGTGCGACAACGCAATGTTGGTACGTCATTTCGGTACCCCCCCCCGAGGTGGTCCTAAAAATGGTTCAATCCAACAAAAACCGATTGATGTGATTGGTCGAATCCGTAGGCTGCAGCGTAGTCCATTTATGTTGATGATTGATGACACAGAAACCGGGCATAATTCCGAGGAGGCCGGCACTTTAAATACAATTCGCTTTTTTTCTATTAATGCAAATATATACTCTTGATGTGTCTGTGCCCAGGAACAATTAACTCATTTTGGTGGCCCATGACTTGACAGGTAAGGCGTCAAACAAAGTAAATTATACGTCTGAATCCACATGGTGAAACATGGTGGTGCTTAAGTCGAAGATGCCGTATCTCTAATTGCAACGTTGTAAATTTCTGCTCAAGTTTCAAAATTTTGAAAAAGAATTAATCATCAGTTTTTCTTGAAATTTTCTGTAAATTTTCTTCACTCCTTCAAAGATATTCGCAGAAAAATCCAAGAAGGTACTTTGGTTGGTTAAAACTACGGTGGGTAGAGGGCATCCGTGAAGAGATGGAGATGAGATGCCAGCTTCCGGAGGATCTCTACCATGACAGATTCCTGTGGAGAGTAGGCGTCGCAGAGCGCCCAAGCGCGCCGTAAAAGCGGCTTATACATACATACATACACCTCCCCTTACATACACACATACACCCTCCCCTTACATACATACATAAAACTAAGAAAAATAAACCGTAGTCGGAGAATCTGAAACATTGCAATGCATATACGTTCCATCCAATTTTAGCCTTCAATATGTCATCAATACGTCTCTAATAAGTATTGACCAGCTTCCTACATTAAGTTTTCTCTTACATATCATTTATAATATATCAACGCGGACGCCACCCTCTGGAAGAAATTGCCTTATGTTCCAAATGAAGGAAGCACATTACACTTTGGCATCATTGTGACATTTTTAGGCTATTTAAATGAACAAACATTCAAAATTTTCAGGAGCAAAGTAGAAAAAAAGTATCAGGTATTTGCCAACATGTTGCAGCAACCCTGGCAGAGTTGCCACGATGTATCGATATACATAGCTACGCATGTTCTTATCCTATCATCAATCTCTGTGAGAAGCAAAGAAGTGACTGTGACAGACAATCCCTTGCAATATTCGCCAGAAAAAATAAAGGCCGCTTTGGAGGAGCATGAAATAATACCGGATGCGTTAGACGTCGCACCTGAGAAGGGAATTAAGGTACGCAATACGCACCCGCTTTTAATTAAGCTTGTCCCCGAAGACTGCATCGAGCCTGTAAGATACTGGCTTTAAGTCCAAGATCTATGCTTCATGACGTGTAAAGTATATTTCATTGCTTCATAACTGTTTGATTTGGCTCCCTCGTATCCAATACTACCAAAGAAAAAAAAAGGAAAAAAAGAACTAAATTAAATATCGACGGTGTAAGTTGGCAATCACATAACTCGGTTTGCGATGTCGCAGACCTCCTGTCATACTTTATTTTTTAAACGGAAAACCACTCAACGGCAAATCTTTAAAACTGCCGTGATTTTTCTTTTCTGTGCGACGAAAATTCTGCAAAAACTTTAAAAAATAATACGTGAATTTGTTCTCCTTTAAAAAATAACATAGATGCGGAGATTTCTAGACACCGCAAACGAGTTATGTGATTGCCAACTTACGCCGTCGATATGTAATACAATCCGATACAGTTGATTAAGATTGTCTTGTAAAAAATACGTCTATTTTTTTCTGCTTTGAGTTAATAAATGATAAGAATTAGTTTCCGAATTTTTCTTTCACGTTACGTGAACTTGAGAATTTTTTTTTGTTTTAAATTTTAGCATGGATGATTGCATGTAGCTAAAAAAAATTCTATGGAACTATTTTAAACTTATTGGAAGTTTAAAAGAGACCCTATCGGTTGAAGCGAGAGTTTACAATTTCACCATTTTACTGAATAAGGAGTGTCACGGGTGTCTAAAACAAGAGAAGGGGGGTTGTTTGAATGGGATAAAATTTCGACAGTTGGCAACCACCCTTCATGCATTTTTCATTTAACGCCCCCCTAGTAAATTACATTCTAGTCCATTTTTTTAGGTAAAATGTTGTTCATTGAAGGCCTTTAATTTTTTGATGTTTTAGCTCGAATGGATTCTAGGATCAAAAGCTGTTTTTGGGAACATTATAGAGCCATTGGAAATCCTAAGGGAACCTTACTGGATCAAATGGGATTCAAAAAAAGATGAGCGGTTTACTATAATGATGATTGGTAAGCCAGCCGAAATATCTACTGTTCGATCTGAGTTCAATTTGAGATTAAATCACAAACAATTATTTTTTGCGAAGCAACTGCTGAGGAACCTACCTAGAGTGCAATACTGGGTTATTTCTTCGTATTATTCTGCCTTATTTAAAGAGAGAGAGGTATGTTTCAAAGAACAGCAACGTGATCGAAATTTAAAAATGGAAAAGAAGAAGGCAAAAGAACAAAATATCCTCCAGATGGGGGATGATTTTAATTTTTCTGAATTTTGTGTCAAGCTCAGCCTTAAAACCTAGATTTAGAATTGCGTTGGATCGAAGACAAATGTTCAGGCACGAGATCGGAGGCTACAAGCAAAGCACAGAGGAGGACTTTGAAGCTGAAATGTTTTCGTTTCAAACCTTCGGGGTCAAATGCTGACTCTCTTTTATCGAGGCTTTTTATGAGAACACGTTTCATGTTATCAGAGCAGTAATCATTGGTAATCATTTGAGAGGAACAAGACCTCAGTGAATTGAAAGCATACTTTTTAAGGGAGTGACTTTTGTCTAGCTAAAACTTCATGTCCAAACTCTCCCGAAAGCTCGTTCCGCCGTGAGCCAGGCCAAAAAATTGGAATTTTAGCTTTTGACTAAGACCACCCTTACCTCTGTAGTATCCTGATATTTAAGTTATGTTTAGTTTAGTTTATGTTAGTTTATTTTAATGACAGATTAAGACTTTAAAGAGTTTTTTATTTAAAAAAAATAGAGAAAAAAAAACATGACATTTTGAAGTACGCACCAACTATGGTTTTGTTTGACAGTATTTGTAGGCGTTTTCCGCCATTTTTTTTAAAACGCTTCAGTAAGCAGTCATGCCAACTGGCGCATTTCGTACCTCTGGAAGAGGGACAGGTCCAGGGTTGCTTCATTCCCAGGATGCAGGGATGCTTAGTAATCAACGAGAATGAGAGAAGAATCGCTGATAAAGGGGTCATACGCAGAGATATGGTGTGAAAAACTGGCAACCCCGCCTAACGTTATAATTGAGCGGCCAGAAACGAGCCCCTGTTTTGAGTTTTCCAGTACTAAGAGCTCATCAGATCACAGTTAGATATTTAATACATGTACCTCTATCGTGGGTTTAGAGAAAACCCCAATATCCATTGTTTTTTAAAACGGTCTCAGGACTCTGAAAATGTAAAAGATCCGAACGTTTTACAGGTAAAAAACCTCAATAATAGGCATGAGTGAATCATTGTTGAGAACTGGATAATTTTTTAGCCCCAAGAAATACGAATTAATACGAAATTCAAAATAACGCGGGTACCCTTGCGTTGTTACTGACTGAATAATATTTATGACGAAATTCTTGCATAGCCCTAGGATATTTTTTTTTTTTTTTTTTTTTTTTTTTTTTTTTTTGGGGTGTGTCAGACTCCGCGTGGCGTGTCAGGGGGTTCCTTAAGGGAACCCCTCGGGGCGATCTGCAGAATATACTACGACCAAATTCAAACTAAGCCCTAGGATATAAGGAAAGGATGCCCTTACAATAAACGCAAATAAAAGATTTTTGGGCAAGCAGGCAAAGGTCCTTGATATTCAGAGGTGGCACGAACGGTTACAACTTCTAACGAGAAAGTATTAATTTTTATATGAACCAAGCATACGCCTCCAAGATGATTCAGTAAAGAGATAAGGTGTGATCCCTACGAGGAAAAAAATAGGAAGAAAAGTATGTTTGATTCAATATTTTGATGACATCCTCTTATTACGTAGGTTTGGACGAGCCGACCAGAGAGAATCATACATTGCGAGAGTGGCAGTTTTGGCTTGTGGGAAATATACCCGAATTTAGTGTTAGATTTGGTGACATATTGACGTATTACTTATCTCCGAAACCACCAAAAGGCACAGGTAAGAATATTTTTTTCTGCGTCATTTATTAAAGTGAATTACACTCTGCTCAAATTTTAGTATAAAATGGGTGATTTGTAAACGAACCCTTATGTCGATTTCGATTTGATAGTACAGGCGGCTGAAATGCAAGCAATTGTTATCTTAAAGGACTAATTTTCGCCGCAAACGGAAAAATTATCTTACAATTACAATGAATGGGTTCTTTGAATGACGTAAACTCTATGTTATTACCCTTCAACATACATACACTAACAAATTGTAATCTTTTTACAGGTATTCACCGTTACGTGGTGCTCCTGTATCTTCAACCGAATGGAGATAAAATTGAATTCGAGGAGGCAAAACGTCCAATTTATGACATGTAAGGAACTTCCAATTTTTGAAATATCAACAAAATTTTGTGAACTTAATACTTGTTTTATCATAAAACATTATGATAGCACTCTGTAAAGTTCTGCCGTGACCTGTACCTGATCTTCTTAACCTTGTCTCTTTTTTCTTGCTTGCAGTGAAGATCAAAATAGATTAAAATCAAAATGAAATTGCACTTTAACTATTACTATACTAAATTTGAATCATATAGACTTTTTAAATTGGTATGACAGCAGCAAAAGTAAACTAACAGATTTGTAAAAAGTTCTTGGAGTCGGCCCTCGCCAGATAAATAGACAGAATTTTGAAGCAAGACAAAATTTGTAATTTCTTCAACCTTGGTGTGTTTATAGTTCCATAAGTAGGCTGTCATACCGTTTAAAAGTTATTTGATTTCATATCGCTTCGCACAATTATCAATTGCTTAATTTTGCATTTGATAACTATGATGAGCCGACATGAACAAAATTGACGAAAATAAAAAAATTGAAAAGATGACTTCAAAAAAAATTATTCCGGTAATTGTGGAATTTTTATACGTATTGTTGCAAACTTTTACTAAAAATTGCACCAAAAAAAAGGCTGCTTCAAGATTTTATTTTTTATTTTTTCCAGCCGCGATGACGATGTTCGAGGAAAGTGGTCGCACAAGAAGTTCGCTGAGAAGTACAAACTAGGAAATCCTGTAGCCTGTAACTTTTTCCGGGTTCAATGGGTGGAACCTCGTGAAGACAATGACACCAATGTATTATAGAAAAATTGAAAAAAATTGTTTTTCAAAGTAGGAGGAGTCTCAGGTCTTCAAAGGTGAGCATTCGTTCTCATCGAATGCTTGCAAAGGGACATTAAAGAGAAGAGGGGTGGAGGGTTGAGGAGAGCGTTAAACCATATTTTTTTTACGTGTCACGTATTATTGAGGCCTACGTCCAAAAAAGGGTACAAAGGGGGGGGGGAGGCTCATAAAATTCGACGTCTCAGGAACGTTTGTGTATTTGGACCGAGTTTAACATCAGAAAGGAACCAAGCCAGGGGGAGGCTCATAAAACAATTTTGAGCAGGGATAATATGGACCGAGTTTAACAGAAAGGAACCAAGCCACATCAGCTATTGCCAAGTTTAACTGGGCAATTAAATTTTTTACGAGAGAACGTTTGTTCGGATTTCTTTGAAAATTTTAAGGAATTTGCTTCGCACCATGGAGAATTTTCACTGAAATTTGCACGAAAATCCGCACAACCGTTTTCATGTAAAAAATTAAATTGCCCAATTAAATTTGGCAATAGCTGATGTGGCTTGGTTCCTTTCTGTTTAACGCGGTCCATTTGTGATTGCATTCTACTTTTTTGTGATATCTGTCCAAAAATTTATAAAATAAAATTATTACAACGTTTTTTCATACTTGTTCGGAATCAGTTGAATTTTAAATGGATGTACTACGTATTGATAAAAATTTTAATCTTATGCAGGCGAAATTCTGCTGAATGCTACAAAGTATGCATAACTCAGTGGAATTTTGGGCTAGTGAGCTCATCAGCCTCACTGTCCCACGATGCCAAAAAACACTTGTCTGTCAATGGATCTTATGTCCTAGAAGTTGTTATTTAAGCCTCAATAAATACGTATGAAATATAAAAAAAAAAATTGTTGACAGTTGTTACGTAGTTGATATATTCTACATTATTTTTAAAATTCAGTAAAGTACTGCTAATTTTCAACACTGTATGAAAAATCAAGATTACTCCTTGAATACTTCAGAAAATTTTAGATTAAAAGTACAAGAGCATAATTGTCAATTACTTTAATTGACAATTTAATTAATTGTTATGATCGATAGAAACGGAGATTACGGCCCCTTTGAGAATTATCAGATTGACTCAAATAGTTCAAATATGGAGAGAAAATTGAGTCATTTTAGTCGACTGAATGAGCTGCATGATTAGTAATGTTAGAGCTGCGCCAGTTGCCCTCAGTTTGAATTTAGCATTATGTTAATGCATCGTTTCAATGATACTTTTTAACGATATCTAAANCGCATAAAGCGTATATGGACCACTATAAGAGATCACGTTGGGTTTGTAAACAAACTGAAGGAAAAAATAACAACAACAACAACGACTCGGCATCTTCCGGAAATCACCGAGCCCGCCGTTTGCTCGTTTCCGGTGATTAGAAAACTGCCCCCAGACGCGGGAAATTTGAAAAAGCGCGTTCCTAACAACGCAAATTGCGCAATAAGGAGTGTATTTCAGACTTTTTTAATGTGATCATCGTAATTTTCGTGTCATTTAACCTTTAAAAAGTCTATTCGCGTGGCTGTATCTCTTGCATTCAACAGGCCCATTCTAGTCTTATTTTGGGTTAAAACTGTACATAATCTGTGTACTTCTCTTATTGCCGACTTACTTATCGCTTGAGATTATTAGATTATACAATCCACCTCTAAATCTACACGAGTCAAGAGTTTTTGTTTGAAAATACGCAATATTCCCTCAATGCAAGTATGTTTATGATATATTTTTGATATATTATTTATAGATCCTCACTGTAAAAAATAAATCACCAGCCTCTTTGGAAGCTGGCAAACCTACACAATTTCTGTCATGTTATTATGTTTTGCAAAGAATCTGAAAAACATTTTTGGGTTATATTAATTCCTTCCATACAATTCACCTCACACCTATACCTAAGATAAAGGTACAAGAAATATGTAATTATTTTCTTTCATTAGATCCTATCAAAAATGTCAAGTGAACATGTTAGACCAAGCTTTCTCAGATGCGGCGAATGAAAGAGGAATCTTAAAGTGAAGGGTTTCAATTCTGCCTGGCCTTGTGTTTTTGCCAATAGAGACTGAATTTGAATAGTTTATCACAAAAAACAGTACGATTTGAACGCTTTTTTCAAATTTTCTATTATTATTTTGAAGTATTGGAAGTTGGAGTTTTGCAGTGCGTCATCACCAAACAGCTTGTGTGGTACGGTCATGTCCATATGATGACGGAAGAGAGGCTGCCGGAAAAGATGCTTGATTGGGTTCCTCCTGGGAGTAGACGAAGGGGACGCCCGGCGAAAGGGTGGCGACAGAGGGTTTTGGATTTGCTGAGGAAGTTCCAACTCCCTGATGGGTTGTGGGAGGACCAAGTTGATTGGCGTCGCAGAGCGCCAGAGAGCGCTGTGAGAATCACTCAAAAAGATCTAGAAATTAAATGCACTGGCAACAGCTTATATGTAATTAGAGATGGAAAAAACTCAAGGAACCGTATTATTACGTAACAACAAAATATTTTCAATGTTTTGGAACCCGCATCCTGCATTCACGGGCTTTAAAGTTTTTGTGACGAATCGTTGCCCGTGCGCCCCTGCGCTTTATGTATTCATTTTGTTTCGTGAGTTATACAAAATCTACAAATATATATGAAACGACCTCTTTAGCCTCATAATTTTAATTACTGGCGATTTTTTTGTGTATGCTGCTCAAGAAGAAGATTCAGATCCCACGCATTTGGATATTAAATTTTATTTTCTATAAAAAAAGAAGAAGATACATCTGAAAGCAATTCGTGTTAATGCATAGGTTTATGGCAAAAAAATTACTTCCTTCACTATGCCAATCCTAGCGCTTTAAAGAAGACAATCTGCGAAGAATTGGCTAATAAATGTGAATAGAAATTTCGTACTTCAAAAGCTCCACCATTGAATTTGCGTGTATAATACGTCAAATCAATCAGGTGAGCCTGAATCTGAAATGGATACAAGAACCTCACAATCGTAGAGGTGTGATTTAAAAATTAGAAGGTAACTTTCTATTGTTATTTCTTTTGTAAAATGTTTTAATTTTTTTGGCACAAGATGGTTTCGAAATTTCTTAAATAACCACTCTGATAAGAGGCAGTTTGTTTTTATTTTCCAAACATTTTCAAACAAAACGCATGAGAGAAAATTTAAATCCAACTTTTGGAAGAACTCGTTAGATGATAAATTGTGTGTGTTGTTCAGCTGTCTACTGAAAAAAACGGGTACTAGGTATTGTGAGTTTAAATTATGCAAGTCTGGGACGTTCTTGAAAATCTTAGTGAGTTACCTATCTAAAGTCAACACGGACTTTTCTTTATTTATGTTCCTCCCGACTCAATTGGACACTGAACAAAATTAATAAAGCTAGGTACATCTGATGAATAATACAGAACTGACCTTCTTTAATCACAATTAAAATACATTTGATTTTGGTGTTAGTTTGTTTAAGGTATCAAAAGAAGATGAAAAAAGTAACGTTCCACGCAGATGGAGTAACCCTCAAAAACATCATGGCAATTATGGGATCACTTATCGTATATGGTAGTAGAAGCTATTCAGCTGATACTGGATCACAAGATGACTCAGAAGTAAATTTTCAAGATTTATATAATGCAGCATTACGACATCAGGACTTGATTCCGGATATCATTTCAAAAGCTCCCACGCACAGTTATTTGAGGTGGGTAGGCATATTTCTTATTTAGTAATTCCATACTTTTTACCAATGAAACTGACAAAGTTAATGATAATCGTCGAACTTGGGACGGACAAAGCTTATTTATTTTTCATACGTAAGTATATGTTTTTGATCGATTTCGATAGTCACACGTGTTTCATTGAAACAGCCAAAAAGTGATCACACATTTTATGAAGGATTCCAACTATCTGACCTTAATTGCCCACGAAAAAAGAAATGCTCGACTTGGTTTTTGACCTTCAACTGTACCTCCATCCCCGTGCACATTACAACGTGAATTATATGCTTTGAGGCAAAAAGAGAGATAGGGGGATTGATGGAAGAAGAGAGGGGGAGAGACAGTGAGAGAAAAAAAATAAGTTGGTTGGTAACACCAAAGGCCACTCCACACTTACTACACTTTACCACGAACAAGGCTTTTTCATTTTGTATGATTTATCATGCCTGCTTAAATTGTTTTTGAAGCGGCTGAAAATTGATTTATTTTATTGAGTAGCGCGTCGCGCGTCGTGGGAAATCAGGAAAGCTTATTGATGAAAATAAGAGGCAACTATTAAAGTTCTTCACGATGAACATTTTTAATGCGTATGATTCTAAAGACATCATTAAAATCAGCACTGAGGACTTTATTTCAAGTAGATAATGCTCTGTCTTTTTTTCAGGTATCGTTTATTCATAAGAAATTCTCTTTTAAACTAGGAAACATATTGCTGCCTGCAGCTTTGAAATATCCTCCATTTTTTATAGATTGGCCAACAAAAAAAGACACACTTTACACGATGCTAATGATAGGTAATCTTTAATGCTGATTAATTTTTCATTCCCTGCATTCTGTAATTCATTAGTTTGATCGGAACTTCTTAGTCAATCTTGAAATTGTAATGTTAGTGAAATACTTCTTATGGGACGACACGCACATGATATGAGTCGTTTCCAAATAAATTTGAAGCTCATACAAATATTATGTAAATTAGCTTAGTCACGCTCCTTTCTTGAACTATTTTAGGCTGGTCAATAATTTCAGTTTTTGGGAACCCAGGCATCTAGGAACCCACGAACCAGTAAAGGCTGACATCTGAGAGCTTTATGAAACACGGCCTGGCTCAGACTTACTTCGGACTGACGTTAGGCTGGTTAGGCAGTGGCATGGCGTGCTTTGCAATACATCGATTGATCTGTCATTTAAACCTTTAGAAAGATCGCTAAGCAGGGTTTTCGCAACAAACATCGCTTAATAATCGATTCTTAACCATAACCTCAAAAGGGAGAAATATCGATAAGCGATAATTCGCGCTTCATTACTGTGGTTAGGCTAACATTAAGCCGACAGGTTCACGGAGGCCCCCAAGAATCCTAATCAGTATTTTTTCATCGCCTTAAACCGAAGTAAGGGTAGCTCGGACCCTTCGTTTTTTGGAAATGTAAACAGTCTTTAATTCACAAAGTGCACAACTCGCAATAAGCGAGCCCTTTCACCCGCCAGCACCCTGGCCCAGGCCGAGAGACAAGAGACCCATCCACTGGCCTCCTAGCGACAGTTGGAAGCTTTTACTTTCGGGGTTTCAACAATTCCTTATGGACAGTTACTAGGGAGCAACAGTCATCACCCTAATTTCGGCTGTTGAACTACCTACATGGTCGATGATGAGCTTCGGGTGACGTCATGAGCCAAACAAGTTTCCCAAACGTTGGCCATTTTCGGCTTGTTTGCAAAACGAAATTGCCAAAACGTTGTTGAACATCAACCATGTAGGTAAGTCAACACTAGAATGCTGAAGTCCCGAAAGTAAAAGCTTCCACAATGGCCAAGATACTAGTGGAGGGTCTCTTGCCTCTGCCCAGGCCCTGTATGACCCCTCCTGCACTCAAGGGCCATCGAGTAATTTCCGTTGGACTTCGTTGTGTTTAACAAATCATCTTTTCCCTTCTACTCACCGGTGTTCTGATCACTCTTTTTACCTCTCAGATCCAGACATGCCATCTCGACATGAGCCTTCTCTTCGGGAATGGAACCACTGGCTTCTGGGCAACATGGTCGGCCCTGACCTATCCACCGGTGACGTAATCGCTCAGTATATTTCACCTGAACCACTGCAAGATACAGGTAAAGTATTTTAGGGAAAAGTTTTAAGGCAAGCGGGAAACAAGCATTTGCTGTAATCAGAATGCAGTTGTCCTCTATTCCTTTGCATCAAAAATTGATTGCGTGTCATAAAGTCAAATTAGAAATTCTGTCTTCATTTTGAAAGTTCCATACAATTCCCTAAAGTCAAGGGATAAAAATCTTTAAAGATGTTCAAAATCTGTAAATCTGTAAATCTGCAAAGCTGTAAAGATGTTTTTACTTTCTTGTTCTTCTTTTTCATGTGAAGGATTTTTAATTAATTGAGGTGTGCTTCTATTGTTGCCAGGTTACCATCGAATTACTTTCCTTGTTTTTGAACAGCCTAGGCACATACATTTTACCGAGCCACCGCTGGAATTTGAGTGAGTAACAACCACTTAAGTTTTCCTTCTTTTGGATTTATCTATGGGTAAGATGTCCTATAAAAATATTTTGAGGCGCCGAAAAGACAAAACATATACATTTGGAAAGATCAAAATGCGACCACTCATTTTGTATACTTTCGGGAATATAGGGGCTGATTTATTCTTATGCATGTTATGTATAAACCCTGGTCCACCTGCCTCAATGTTTCTATTAATCAGTTTGAAACATCCGAATTTATTCTCGCACAGTTTTCGATTTTAATGAAAAACCATAACGGGATCAGTTCACTATAAGTTAAAATGGAAATTGTAGAAATTTTGCTTACTCATTTGCACTCAAAGCCTACACTTAACACGCTGACGGCATGATAATAGAGTAAAATGTGCTCGTCAACGCGTTCCAATAAATAAATTTAAGTGCAAGAGAATAAAGAACATTTTTAAAATTTTATTCTTTCGATTTTATAAATATTTCTCTTTTCTTCTCTTCCGTTTGAACTTGGGAACTATTAGGCATATTTGATAAATAGAGACTCCACTCCTATCTATACTTCAATCGCATGACTTTAGACCCTTCTGATTAGTCAAGAAATGCTATCTTGGCTGATGAATATCGAGATTTTTTCCCGTGACTTGCGTTTGAATTGTCATTTGGACTACATATTGTAACTAGGAACTACAATTTCTGGCTCAGTTTAGAAAGAACGTATGAACAATAATTGGTTTGACTATGCATATGAGTGTTTTTACGGATGAGCCAGAAATAGTAGCCCCTAATGGCAGAATGTAGTCAATTTAAACTCACAGAAAATTATCGCGTATTAGGGTTGTCGCTAAGAATACCTCACCGATTAATTCTTGTCGCCATAACCTCAAATAGTCGCTTGGCTGACAAAAGGGCATATCCACACTTTCAGATGAGCCTAGAAAATAAATGAGTTAGTACGACACGGCTCATCGCGAAGAGGAGTTATACGTCCTTTGGGTAGGGGCAATTTTGCAAGTTGGCAACACTGTTGTTTCTCCATTTAAATCTATTAAAAATATCGAGATATCTTCATGAGACAAACTGCCTTACCAAGAATTAATTGTTTTACATACTTACATTTAAATGGAGGATAAACAGCGTTGCCAACTTTCAAGAATCACCACTGCCTTAGGCCCGGGGGGGGGGGGACGAAATGGGAAACTATCAATACCCGATTATTATTCACGTTTCGCTGCTAGTAGCTTTTTCGCATGGGAAGGCACTGTGCGTGCAGAAGGACATGACAAAGCGCTAATTTACTCAAGACTTTTTAGTCTTTTAAAATATTATAATCTAAAATGTTATTTGACAATCATTGATGTTAACCGCTTTATGATTATCTTTTCCTTCTAAGAAAACTTATAAACCACGCTAATACTAGACATTTATTATTCGAATTTCACTTCATTCATACGATCAAAATAATGGGTACATGGTGGTTTTTATGAGCGGAAATAAATCTACCCTTTTTCTTTAACTGTAGAAAGATGCGTTTCCTGCATTATTTTAAAAACCGAACTACATTTCTTTCGTCGCACAAGGCAAGAACACACAGAATGATTACAAGCTCTATGGCTATAATGAATAATATTGGAAAAATAACCGTTTTGTAGGGGGAAAAATAATGATAGAAACAAAAATGAATAGAATGTTCCCCAAAGTTAACATTGGGACAAAGAAAATTCCTTCAAATATTTTATGACGGTGTACTCCCTATCGTCAATTTCCCATCGCACACTGAATGGAAAGGTGAACTTTATAATTTATGTTGCTTGCTCTTTATTGAAGTTATTTTTTGAAGATTTTATGTGGTTGAATTTGTTTCCGTGCGTTTTTAACAGTCGTAACGATACGCGGAGGACTCATTTCTCTTGGCGAAAGTTTGCCGAAAAGTACGAGTTGGGAGATCCAATCGCAATCAACTTTTGTTTGACTGCCTTTAACAAGACTGCCATTGAAGGATTCGATGATGTTCGCGAAAGCTCTACCCCAAAGGATCAATTAATTTCAAGCTAACGATAAAAAAGTAACTATATTTACGTCAAATTTCTGGATATTTTTATTTCCTGTAAAAAATAATTGTGACAGTCAGGTATTCGTTGGTCGGCCGCACATTTCATTTTTAAGCAGTAATATTTTTCCTTCATAATGAAACAATATTCAAGCCGAGCAAAGCTTAGCATTTGCCATGCATTTAAGTCTGAAATATGTAATTGCAATATACCTCACTAAAATATGGTTTCAATTTGCATCTAAAGTTTACTTACATATTTTATGCATAACTTAATACTACGACATGTAAGTAATGGTACGGGAATTTTGAATTTTATTAGAATTCTTCGTTTTTAATCATGGTGTCTTGTTCAAACTGTCTTTTGTTTGAAATAGAGATTCTTTACATAGACGAGATGCAAAATGTGCATTGCTCAGTTCGTTAACGGCATACATTAGCGCACTATTTTCACACCCGTGAGTGAATTCAAAAGTACGTTAAAACTTGAATCATACATTCATGTAATGATGTTTTTTTGATAAAGTGAAGTTAGGCTGTCCAATGCTTGTCTATTGGTACATTTTAGATCTGCCAATGGGCCTGTTGCAAACTTTTGCTAGAGCAAAAATAAGAGTTGTTTCTTATAGATAATGCCTCGAAAATCACGATGAGCGCATCAGCAAAGTCTGAAATGCACTCATAACTTCACAGTCTGCGTAAGAAATTTGCGGTTTTTTGAGCTTCCCGCTTCAAAAACGATACTACGGCACAGGTGAACATTTTGTAAGAGGAGTCGTTCCATCGTCGGCAATAATCATCATGGCCGACGCCAATCCGCCAAAACACGTTTGATGGGACGAGATAACATCTGAACTGGATTAGACCAGATAACAATCGGTGTGTTAACGTTCATATTTTCCACGCCCGAATTGATTGACCTTGAACTCTCCTCGAATTACGCGCGGAACTGCGCGCAAGCGTCGGCCATGATGAATATCGCCGACGATGGAGCGACTCCTCTAACAAAATGTTCACCTGTGCCGTAGTATCGTTTTTGAAGCGGGAAGCTTAAAAAAACGCAAATTTCTTACGCAGATTGTGAAGTTATGAGTGCATTTCAGACTTTGCCGATGCGCTCATCGTGATTTTTGAGGCATTATCTACAAGAAACAACTCTTATTTTTGCTCTAGCAAAAGTTTGCAACAGGTCCATTGGTCTCAAAAAGTTGAAATTCATGACGTCTAATGTGAGGCAGTTTCGTTGGGGTAAATCTCATAAATAAGACAATTTAAGAATAAAAAAATTGGTAATAAAAAAACTCTTAAGATGAAAAATTCATAATAAATAAATATTGAAAATATTTTAACCGAACTCAATTGTTCATCATGAATGAAGAAGATAAAAAAAGCTATGTGAGGGTGTGAATATCCAAGAGATTTTTCATCCCCTCTAAGAAAATTCTCCGCCCGCCTTCCTAGAAAATATGCCTCCCTACAAGATAAAGTTTTTGCTCCCCACATTCTGAAAAAATGCCCCCCCCCCACGAAAATGAATAGGCAGGGGGGGAAGAGGATGAGAGGGAGCTGTCGCGTATTACGCAACCTTTCTTCCAAATTCGCCCCAAGACAGTATTTTGTCCGTCCTTTTCTCCCTCATGCATTTCTTCTGTCTCTCTCTTAGTTTCTCATGACAAGCATTTTAAGGCCTTAAGTAGCCAATGCTCGCATACAATTAGACACACCATCTCATTTTTTTAATATCTGTTTTATCGGAGTAACGGATGGCTGATGCAATGCAGCTTAAAAGTTGTCCCTGCGTGCCCCGATAACTCGGCGATGTACTTTACTTGGCGTTTACCGCCTCAGCTATGACTATCTGTCAATTCTTAAGCTCTCGCAAGTCACTTTAGTATATTTTACAAGTGCAGAATTTCCATCTATTGTAATCCGGTGACGTGAATAAAGTGTTCATCTCCTTGATCCAACAACTTCCAAGTGTTATTCTTCCAAAACCGTTTAATCGATGGTATAAACTTAACTTTTGCTCTCCCACGAACTCCGCTATTTCTAGAGCGCGTTTGAGGATTTATTCAGGTGTTTTCAGTCCGTCTAGCGGGCTGATTGGTGAAATCCATAGACAAATCTATAGAAAAAGAGGACAAAAAGGGTATGGAGGGATCCTATTGGTGGAAGCGGGTGGTTGCAATGGACAATGAAGGTAGGCAAAGAACTAACTAACGGCAACCCACGAGAGGCCCTACAGTAAGGCCATAATTGTCTCCCTTGATCTACAAGAACCGCCCATTTCAACCAATAGGATCGCTCCATACCCCTTATGTCTTTTTGTCTATCGATCTCCTATACTCCTTCGCTTTATCTATCAAACGCATCAGAAAAAAATAAATCTACATTGCATCTTTACTACCATGTTGTTGTTACTGAGCATTTTTATCCTTAATTTTGACTGATTTTGGAGTTCATGTCAATCTTCCATGCAGTGACCGAGTGACCGTGATTGAGATAATATTACATTTTCAATAGAATCACCGATTATGCCCTTGAGCTCATGACGTAAGCTCAGAATTAATTAAGTGATGTCAAATTTTCATTTAATTCACCAAATTTCATTCATTTACCAAGTGAAGAAATAAAGGGTTTTTCGCATAATTGTGAGTCTGGATACGATAGATCTCTTCAGTGATGACGCAAATATGCGAGCCAATGGATGCGCGTGCATTTATCCTCTCTCTTCTAAGCTGAGGAAGTTTTACATGCATAACTACCCAATCGGAAATTTGACCTTGGGCAGATCGGAATAATATTGTGGCAACCTTAGCGAGATTGTGGGCATATTTCAACAGTAAGGTTGGCCTGAGAATCTTGGTACAATATACCATCAATACTGGATATATAACCTTAGTATTTTAATATTGCACCAATATTAGCAACATTAGAAATCCAACGTCAGGTGGTGCTCGGTGATTCCAAGATTGTCACAATGTTGTCACAATGTTGGTTATACAATATTGGTAAACTAATACTGTCGTAGAGTTATGTTTTCAATATTGCAGTAATATGTTAGTTTTAACATTGGCACATTATTAAAAAAAATACTGAACATAGGCTTCTGCTTATAATATTGGCACAATATTGACACAATATTAGGAAAACAAAATTGCTAAAATAATATCGAGACGATGTTATCTCTATGATACTGCGATATTGTTATTATGTTAACATTCAATTAACGTTAGAACAACAAACATAACAGGCTTCTGTTCGTAATATTGTCATAATATTGACACAATATTGGATATCTAAAACTGCTGAATTGATAGTATGCTAACATTATTTTTACAACATTGTGGTAATATTCGCACTTTAACATTGTCACAAGATTAAGAAAATAAACATTTTAGGCTTTTGTTTCTAATATTGTCATGAGATTAACACAATATTGTGCGCGGCGAGCACAATTCGACCGCGTTTGCTATTTCCGCCACCAGGGCGCGCTCGCCGCGGATCTGCCGTTGCGGTCCCTTTAAGGGCAAATTAAAGGGCAAAAACTGGGACCTTTCGCTTTTTGACGTAATAGGCACATGATCCATAGGCGTCTAACCCATCTTACCAATATTCTTAGGCCAAGGGCTCAAATGGAGCTTTTTGGCAACGGTCCGCGTGCGGCCGCCCCGTCAATGGGGCTGGTTCTCGTTTCGCCTGGGCAGTGCCCGTTACAAGTGGGATCCAAGTCGTATACTTCAGCCAGCGCAAGCAGCCAAGAAAGTAACTGACTTAGGAAGGTTCCTCGGCACTCCAATGTTTCATATGCCTACATTAGGCATTGCGAAGCTACAAAATTTCTTACGCGAGGACGGCAGGTAATACGTTGTACTATCGCCTACCTTGCCTCAGAGGTAAGATTGGAAATCCAAGCTTGTCTCAGAGCAGAGAGTATGGAAGGTTAGAGGCCCGACTCAATGCTAGGTAATTGAAACAGAAGCGCTCGCTGGCGACGTACGCAACTATTATTTTCTATTGTTTTCCAGGGACTAGCGGCGGGTATGTTGCTGCCGGACCACCTCCACGTAGGCAATATTTTATACATCGTCCGTCCGCAACCCTCGCTTAGCCAATCAGCGCAGTGGTATGGGATTCCGCTCGCCGCGCACTCTCGCGCCAACGTACGCAACTGCTTGCTCACGGCTCCAACTTCTGTTTCAATTCTTCCCTATCCAGTCGGGCCTCTAACCTTCCATACTCTCTGTCTCAGAGGTAAAATAAATATCCTGACAATACTATGGCAATATTTTAACATCAAGTCTATGGCAACATCATGATCACAATATCCGCTGAACAAGCTTGGAGCAATATTATTAACATAATGTTGTCACAATATTGAATATCCAAGTTTGTTTCGGAAGTAAAATAATGTCCCACCAATATTGTGGCAATATTGTCAGGATAGGCTTGGAGCAGTCTTACAAACCTAACCTTGGCACAATCTTTGGGCTCAAGCTTGTCCCAGAGGTAAAATAAATGTCCTGCTAACATTGTGGGAACATTAACAAGATAAGCTTGGCAACTCTATTCAAATGTGAAAAAATGTCATACTAAGCTTGTACCAAGGTCAAATTTCCGATTTGGTATATTCATTCTTATTTTTCTCTTAACTTTTTGTTGTTATTTTTATGAAAGTCCTCTTGTTCTCAGAATAATGAATTGCGTGGTGTTGGCGTGGTCAAAAAGGATTTGTGGGTATATTATCGTATTCCGGGTAAACGTCACTATTTTTGTTTCTATTCTTGAGTTAATTGTAGTATCTCATCAAATAGAGAGACTATCCATAGAAATTGATAGCAAATTAATGGGTCACAGGATTATTCCAGGTCTTTTAGATGTCTCTCCGAATAAAACAATAGGAAAATTTAGTGATTATACACAGATAAGAAAAATAATAACTTTCATGACTTGGTTCGGTGGACGCTCCTCCAACGTCTAAACGTTGGAACCGGCTGCTCGTTTTATTTTTATACTAATTTATGTCTTTGCTTACTCTGATTCCTCTTTTATTCATATTTCATGTAACTCTGTAACTTTATCTCATCTCTACACCTCTAAAAGTGTCTGTAAAACTGTTTAAATTTTTTACGCTGTTCAAATGAATTGCAAAAAAACCTTTTTGTGGTCTGCGCAAACAAGTGTATATGAGGACTTATCTGTAACAAAAGCGGATGTCGAGTTTTCACATTGTGAGAAAATCGCGTTTGAAGTTTTCGAAGCTTTGCATACTTTGTCGCCCGTAGAACCGAGAGGATCCTTGTAACGATTTTCATAAAGAGCAACCCTTCCTGTAAAAAAAACACGTTTTGCGATCTATGTAAGTGAAAAATGTAGGAGTAACAGCGATTTGAAAAAAATGTGACATCCGCTGTTTTTACTGAAAACGTTTTTTTATGCATGAAACAAAGTCTTCGGGAGGGTTAAGGCTAGTGAAACGATTGAAATGAACCAAAAGTAAGCCAACGCTGAGTCATTTAATACAATTGAACAAAAAACTGCGGACCGTTTGTAACTTTTAGAACAAAAATAAGGAACAAATTATAAAATCAGTTAAAAAATCAACAATTCTGGCGAGATGGTCCCGATACGTATAATTTGAGTGTCAGCTATAGCCCATGGTCGGTATGCGGGCAGTTATCGCAAGTGGATTCGAATCTCTACCATGTCCTGCCGCGCCGGCGGGGGAGAACAAGGGATTCTCACATCCGCTGTTTTTAGAAATAACGCGTGGTTTTCAGTTCATATCTCACCGAAAAATTGTCCTGGAAGTCTGAAACTATGCACAGGCATTTTTGAGGGTTCCAGAATTCGAAAAAAAGCGTTTGCCCTAAAAATGGTGGATGTCAGCGACCGCTGTTGTTACATATAAGTCCTCATATGTATACTTATGTAGGACCTAATTAAAAAACTAAATTAAAAAAGTATTCATTTACGGTTTTTTTTTTTTATTTCTTTTCCTCTCCTTTATGTTCCTCATCACTATGATCTGAGATGAAATCCTCGTCGATTCCGGCCATTGGGTGCTCGTCGTAATACGGCTTCCACTCAGCCTCAAAGAAATTTACGGCAATCGGTTTACCAAGATTGTATTTCCCCACAAATTTCTTGGTTGAGAAGTGCTGGCGGCGTGGATCATTAGGACTGGAAAATAGAAATTTATTAGGAAAGTTAACATTTTCGAATTTTTATGGAAAAAATGTAATTTACAGTTGCCATACAAGAATCCAGAATCAAATGGAAAATTAATATTATGGATATCCATTAGATGAAGATTCGTTCGTTACTCCTGTCAGCTAACAGTGCATTAGAATGATTTGTGTTTTACGGCTATGTTCCTTTGAAGCATCTATCCCTGACTCCATTAATGGAAAAATATCAAAAGTAGGTGACGGTGACCTCTCTCAATTATTTTAAAGAGCGAATGGTCTAATTTCGGTGAAAACTCCGTAGAGACTCATCATAACGTGCTTGTTGAAAAGATAGCTAGAGTTACTCACTCTTTGGGAAGACAAGGTTCGTCAAATTTCAACTTCTTTCCCTCTGGATGTTTGTATGCTTGATAGACAAATCGATGAAAACCTAAAAGTATGAAAAGGTATGTGTAGAATATATGTTATGCAAGAATTATTGGCTACACCTACATTTTTGGATGCATAAAAAAGGTGATATTTGATACATAGTTTTTTGCTTGATTAGATAGATGATAAATTTTGTTGATTTTATTTTTTGGCTCGAACTCAGTTTCGGACCTTAGGATAGTTGTGTTAATGCAACCAAACCTGCAAGGTGTTCAGGTATCTCGGCATGTGGAGATCAGAGAGATGTTTTGCAGGACCTATACTACTCTTTGATCCGTTCGTATGGTTTCGTTGATTTGTTTTAGATTCGAATGCCATTACGCATTAGTGTGATAAAGATTTAAGAGAAACAAACGCATCTATTTCCTTTAAACTAAAATAATAATAAAACATACTTGTTGCATTTTAAGACTTGTTTTCAGGTTTTATTTGTAGGTATCTCCTCTTCAATGGGCTTTTGTTGCATATGCGATGTGTAGAGTGATCTGAGTAGCAAAGATCGCGATAAGTTGCTATTTGACCGGAGAACGTATCGAGATCATTTTATTGACGCCAATTTATCGCGATATTATCGAACAAAAAATCGTGATAAATTGAAATAGAATCTCGATTTTATCGAACGCAATTTTATCTAGTTACAATTGCAAGATCGAGGAGAATTGCGCAAATGCTGATGATCCTAGCGTTTTTTATCCGCAAATAATAGGTTGAAGGACATTTCGACAACGATTTCTTGTCCGTACACCTGGTTCTTCTAGTAGTTCATGTCCACGCGTTTTTTCTGCAGGGGAGTTCGTGCTGTAGTACCTTGATTTATTTTGCGAGGAAAGCTTTGTACTCTCAGAGGACGCCTTCTTAAAATGTTGGAGCGCCTTCGATTTCGTTTGATACCGTGCAACACCTCTGTTGTGAAATAGTTGCTTGAGGCGCCGTGGCACGCTGCGGCGAGGCGCGGCTGACCAACTCCCAACGCGCATTGACGCCTACAAACCTAAGGGGATACTTCAAGCATTGCGCAATGCGTGAAGTATCCCCTTAGGTTTGTAGGTGTTAGTGCACGGCTCGTGCCGCGCCGGTAGTACGCCGCGCACCGCTCCGCTCTGTGTTTGGCTGTAATATTCAAAATCGCGGAGTCGGTGTTTTTCAGCTCATGATTTTTGAATTTTTGCACATTCTGCATGGATTTTCCTCATTTAAATTGATGAAAGGAAATATGTATTAAAGGAAAATATAAAATGTGTTCTGTAAATATTAAGGTGGTTCCGTGTCAAAATGATTCCCAAAGCACTTTAATTTTTTCTTTTATATTTGTGCATTTACTGTACTGCAGCGTGGTGTACGCGCGACCAAACGCTCAAAACCAGACGTATTTGATTCTAAAAGATCGATGTACGTACGGGTTAAAACAAATGATTGCGTGCTTTTTGGTTTTTTCCCCTTTTTTATTCATTTTTGTATAGTTTCTTTCAACTTAACTCTTATTTTTCGCGTGGCCGTAAACTACTGGACAAAACAGGTGCGCGGACAAAAAATCGTTGACGGAATGTCCTGAAACCGAATAATCCTAAAAAAATCGCAACTTTACTTCTAAATATCGTGATTTTTCCGTTGAAAATTGCTACCTGGTGAGGCGGGGTTGCAAATCGCCGTTTGCCCCTGAATGAAACTTCATGGCACTTCAGTGGTGAGGTGTGAATGATCGATTATCGATATTTCCTCATTTAAACTGAGCGATATAAAGAGGAAAAACTTAGAAAAAAAGAAGAGGAGGAGAAAAATTTGGATGTGAGAAAGGAGCGAAACAGAAAAGAGGGGGGAGATAAATTTAAACCGAGGGACCAGCTTATTTTGAGGAAAAAGAAGCAAACCAGAAAAGAGAGGAGAAGTGAAAAGGTGACTAAAATAAATGATCGGCCGAGAGGGGGAAAGAAAAGGACGTTCTAATGCAAATAGAAGATTTGCATTAAAGCATGCCACTAAATTGATGGAGATTGAAAACGAGAGTGATTCAATTCCACAATTTAGGGGTTAGGTTGAGATGGGG